CCGTGGTGGGCTGATGAAAATTGTTTCTTGCTGCCTTTGCAGTCACCTGCATAAGAAGAACTTCGACGTGACCAAAATCCAAATGGAAAACCTCAGCCGCTTCTCAGAGTGGATGACCATGACTTCACTATGAGGCCCGCCTTTGGAGGTAGGACTGTGTCCTCCCCTCGGCCCAATGGGACCTGGCCCCGGGGCTGCCTGCTGCTGCTGTTCCGTCTGGTCCCTCAGGCACAGCCCTCCTTGGGGGGCCCTAATTTTCCCACTAACACCCAGAGAAGCTCCGCTTGCTCGGAGTCACTAATCCTCCCCAGGAGAAAAAAGCTGGAAGGCAGTCAGTGGAGGGGCTGTGAGCTGAAGAGGAGCTGACAGTGTTTACACTCAGGAAGGACCAGCCCTGTGGCTGCCAACTCTCCTTTCCTAAAAAAATAAGAGCAAGCTGGGGGGGGGGGTGTCTCCCACAGAAGCCGGCTCCCCTGCTCTGTTGGCCTCTGCCTGGCTGGGAATTAGGGGGTTCTGAGGGGCCACCTGCTTGCCAAAGTAGCATCAGTTTAACCCATTGCAAAACCTCCTTGCAGATTTGCTGCTAAAGGAGCCTCTGTGTTTGGGGGTCAGGGAGGGGTGGCATGCCAGTGGCTGTCCCTTTCAGGAACTGGAGAAATGCCATGGGGTGGGGGTAGCGGCACAGGAAAGGAGCCTGCCATCTGCTCCTACCAGGCAGGGAGAAGGATGAGAAAAGCAGAATGCATGAGGCACGGGGCCGATGCACCTTGTGCTTGTGGGGCACTGAGGCTGGGAGCGCGGCTGCCGATGGGCCCTGGCCAGAGAGACCCAGGCAGGCTATCATGTCCCCTTTACCTCTGCTCTTGAACTTCTCTGAGGTGCCTGGGGCGGCAGGAAGGAGTAGGGGTGACTTGTGCGCTAGTCACTGACCCTCTCTGAGCCTCTGCTTGCTGGTTGGTGAAATGGGGATAGTAATCCATCCATCTGGGGTGGCTGTCCGGATTAGACGAGATAATGTATGTAAAGCCCCTGGCACATATGGGTTCACGGTCCCTTAGAAAAATCCAGCTGTCAGGCCTCCCTCTTGTGTGACTGTGAGGGGATTAGGACATTAATTTATCCCAGAGGCCTTTGCATTTTTAAAAGGACTCAAAGCCTCCCACTCAGTTCCCTGAGTTCTGACACCTGCTGAGGAGGAGGAGAAAGCAGGTGACGGGTGATAGTCCCCACCTCTTCTTCCCGCCCAGAGCCTTGCTCACCAGGAGCTCAGGCCAGGAGGCCACCATCTCCCTGGGAGTTCTGGTGTCCTGGAGGCCTTGTTTTGGGTAATGCCACCGAGGAATTTTCTGAAATTCAATAATGTTTGCCTGGATAAGCTGCTCTGAAATAGCTTTACGTGCTCCAGGAGGTCCAAGCAAACGTCCTGTCAGCAGGAAGTCCCCCTTTGCTTTTCTTGTAGAGGGTCAGGTAAGATGCAGAGAGTCAGCGAGGTGGCCAGAGCAAGGATGACAAACAATAGCACCAAGGACCATGAACACTTTTCTAGTGATTTCTGTGCCAGGCACCATCCTAATTGGGGTCCTTACAGACACAATCTTACTTCAGTCCTCACAACAACTCCATGAAGTAGATACTAGCATGAGGCCCGATGGGGAAACTGAGGCACAGAGAGGTAAGGTGAGTGGCCCAGGTCACACAGCTGCTGAGTCGGCCCTGCCTCCTAGCTGGGTTTCCCTTCTGCCCCCTTGACCCACACATCCCCCAGTGCACAGCCCACATAATCATTAGGTAGAGTAGGATTCACAACCAATACCCTGAAAATATTTGAATCTAATTTAATCTAATTTAAAGTCAGAAGACAAAAACCAAAATTTTAGGTAGAAGAAATGTTAATAGATAATATTAACATATTCATCTTTAGACCAACACACTTGTAAAATATGATTTTTTTCCCCTTTAGATTGAAATACAGTTGGTTTACAATGCTGTCTCAGTTTCTGGTGTACAGCATAATGTTTCAGTCACACATGAACATACATATATTGCTTTTCATATCTTTTTTCATTATACTTTACTACAAGGTATTGAATATAGTTCCCTGTGTTATACAGTAGGATTTGTTGTTTATCTATTTTATATATAGTAGTTAGTATCTGCAAATCCCGAACTCCCAATATATCCCTCCCCACCCTTCTTCTCCCTGGTAACCAGAAGTTTGTTTTCTATATCTGTGTACTATTTTTCATGGTGGAAGGGCCCAGGAGGGCAAAAGTACCCAGAGCCCTCAAAAGTAACATGGCCCTGTCTCAATGAACAGTTTTGTGGGGCAGCAGTGTTCATCTGGGTGATCCTCTGAATAATGCATTGTAATTTTATTTTTTGAGGGGTGGGTAATTAAGTTTATTATTATTATTTTTAATGGAGGTATGAGGATTGAACCCAGGGCTTCACACATGCCGAGCATACACTCTACCACTGAGCTGTACCCTCTTCCTCCCCCTCCCCCTGCCCCGTTGTAACTTTCTAACAGAGGCTGCTGTTGCTGGCAGGAGCCCAAGCAATCAATCACCTGGTCAGGACCTTCAGTTTACAGAAGAGCCTGGGGTCTAGGGGGAGTGAGCTAGACTTCCTGTACCCTGATCTCTCCAGCTGCTGAGCCCATCAGCAAGGTCCCCCAGAGTGTGGGAGATCAGGACAGTCCCCTGATTCTGCCTGAGTAAGCTTCTGAGGCAGGGAAGAGCCCTGATTGCAGGCGAAGGAGGTGTCACCTAACAGCAGGCACAATAAGACCCGAGACTCTTACACATCAGCTGTCAAGATCTCAGTCACCAAAGCAAAGGGTGGGGGTGCTCTTCCTTCTTTCTAACCTCCTCCCCAAGGGCAGTTGGTCCTCTGGGCACCTTTTCGCCCTTGCAGGACTTTCCTGGATGTCTAGATGTCACTTGGATGAAATAGGGCAAGGGGAGCACGTGGTGAGGTACATACACGGAAGAAGCTTTGCAAATCCCAGAGTCCTGGAAGGCCGGATGGGACCATCACAGGAGGAGGCTTCTCACCACCTGGGGTCCAATGATTGGTATAATCCCTCACCCCTGGGAGCATCTGGAGATGGTTTAAAGTCAAGAAGTCTTCTCGGCAGGTGCTCCGGATGGTCTCCACTCTGCTGAGCACCTCATTCTTGGATAGGGGGCACTGGCCAGGGGGTGGATGTGCCTCTGAGGAAGGAGGCTGGCAGATAGCACATAGGAGACCCTGTGTGAGTAACAGAGCCCGCTGTCCTTGGAGGAGGCAGCCGTATGCCAGGCCCCTGGCCCAGGCTTACATCCCCTCCTTCCCACCCCTGCACACTCAGCAGGCCTTGCGAACGAGCTGTCCCTCACTTGTGGGGTATGTGTTCCCATCTCTGTCTTCTCTTCCTAACTTGTTTCTCAAAGAGGGGCTTCGCTGTGGACTCACATGTTAAAATAATTGATAGAGAGGAATTTGCCTAAGATGATATACCCCTTGGATGACCTTTTCAGTCTGGAAAAAGAAAAGATTAAAAATTTAGCAGCTTCCTAGTAATCCCAGGGATCAGTTGAAGCAAAAATATCTTGTCTAAGCTCCCAGCTGCCTGTTTCGGTGGTGTGTCCCGGTTAGGAGAGCCTCCGGAGGCCTGAGGGTTCCCCTCTGTTTGTGAGGAGAAATTGTGCATACTGTATCAGAGTCATTTCATAATACAGCATTGGAAATGTTCTTACATTTTTTAAAAGCCACTTACCTGCGATGATAATCTGCTATACAATTACTCTGGTTAGGAGACAGGCATCTTGTATGGTAATGTAATTCTTTGGACGCAAAGTTATTAACCAGCAGGAAAACTAACACATCATTACTTTTGTATGAAATACCACTCACCTTCTACCTATGTGATGATCGACTAGTATCTACGTATATTTTATGCATTTATGATGAACCTAACTTAAAAAATTTTTTTTAATATTTCTAGGCTCTGCGGTTCATCCATGAGTTTTTTCAAATTGTTGTAAATCTCCAAAAATGTTTCCAACATATTTATTGGAAGAAAATCCACGTCTAATTGGACTTGCGCAATTCAAACTTGTGATGTTCAAGGGTCAACTGCATAAGTTTTCAGCCCACAAAGTTATCACAAAGTGAATTTATCAATGGTTGTCACTCAGCCCAAGAAGTAAAACAGGACCCAGAGATAAACACAGTATTAGAAACCTTGTCGTGGGTCAGATAAAACTGAGTGCCAAGCTTCTGTGCTATGTATTCTGGTACTTCTCATCTGACATATCCTGAAAGGATTTCAGAATCTCATACTGTTGTCTTTCTCTGTGATCTAAGCATGTACACAGAAGACCTTGTCTCACACCAGGTTGAAGTCTTCTAGAGGGCAGGACCCCAGCTGTCTGTTAGGTACCTTAGGTATAGTTCAAATGATGAATGAATCCACCCTGGGTGTGCTGGTGCACCAACCCTGCATCAGAGGCTCTTTCTGTCCTTTCTAGAACGAATGACTAGGGCCTACACTCTAGCACTAGAGCAACTAATGTTCCTCTGTGGAGACAGCCCTGGAATGTAGAAAGTAGTAATCCAGCTCATCCACTCATGCAACAAGCATGAATAAAACCACCCACATTGCCTTAGGAAATGCGCTTGAGGTAGACACAGTCCCTGCCCTCGTGGAGAAAGTTCAGACACCCAATACATCAGGAAGTGGCAAGAAAACCCTCATGGAATTCTAAACCACTGCCTCAGCCCTGCTCCACTCAGGCTCCCCGGGAAAGGGGGTTGGGGCTGTCTCCCAGCCCAGCGCTAGAGAGGAATGCATCTTAACTAGCTGTCTTTGCCCTTCTGCAGGCCCTGCTATCCCGGTGGGCATGGACGTGCAGGTGGAGAGCCTGGACAGCATCTCAGAGGTGGACATGGTACGTGGTGCCCTTGGTGGGCAGCTCCAGCGTGGGATTGTGTGGCTGAGGTCCTGTGATATCTTGGGTCGGTCAGGTTGGGCAAGGCAGGTAGGCGGAGCCAGGAACTCGAGGGGTTAAAACTGGGACTTAGAGGTTGGCCCAGGTGCAGTAAAATCTAGAACAGGGATTCCCAAGCTTCGTGGGTAAAAGTAACCTGAGGGGTTGGTGAACTGCAGACCCGCACCCCAGACTTCCTGATTCAGTCTCTGGGAGTGAGGCTTAGTCCCTTCCATTTTCAACACACTCCTCAAGTGATGTGAGGGGTCGGATGAACGCCACTTGGAGGAGCACAGAAGGTGGACCTGTTCACCTGGAAATTCTGCAGGTCTCTGATCACCAATGCCTGCTGGAAGCAAAGCTCCCTTCTCATTGTCTGGCAAGGCCCAGCAAGTTCAGGTGGATGAAAGGTTCTCTGAAGAACCATCGTTTCAGCTGAGACCTGACAGCTGTGGGAGGGCCGAGCCGAGCAAGAGTGTGTACGTGGGTCTCTGAGGCAGAAGAAACAGGGAGTTTGCAAACTGAAAGAGAAGCATCCAAAACGGTGGAGGGAAGGGGGCTGGAAGAGGTGGGTGGGTGGGGCAGTGCTCCCCTCCACAGGCGGACCCTGCAGGACAACAGGGGGGTCTGGGTGTGGTTGGTAGGCTCGAGGTGGGCACTACGCTCTGAGCCTGCCACCGCTTGCATCTTTCCATCCTTCCTTCGCTGGCTCCCAGCAGAAGCTCTTTGGGAAGGGGCTTACTCATGTGCACTTGTGTCTTAGCTCTGGCTACAGCATAAGGGCTACACTCTTGGGTTAAGGCGCTTTTTAACAAGCCTTCAGGCTGAAATTATCCTAGGTATGCAGCTGCCCATCATCTCATCATCGTTCATTCCCCCCATTTTCCCATCCTGCAAATATTTATCGAGCATCTACTATTGTGCCTTGCCAGACTAAACTAGGGTCCGGAGCTTTGATGGTGGACAGGGTACAATTCTGCCTTCAAAGATCTTACGAGTCTGATGGTAGAAACCCTCCTACATGGGACACTTGATTGTCTGGGTTTCTAGAAGCATCTGCTAAGTTGAATTGAATGGTTAGCCAAATGTGTGCAAAGGTCTAAATGAGAGAAAGAAGGGCTTTGGGGAAATCCTACCCTGCTGACCCCCTGGCCAGGCAGTGGGCATCACAGCTGTGTTTCAATGTGCAGAGCCTGAAGGATGGGCTGTGCAATAGCCCGGGCTCCAACCTCACGAGGCATGAAAACGAGCCATTCTCTTTCTTTCTTTCCTTCTTTCTTTCTTTCTTTTTTTTGGTGGGTGAAGGTCATTATGTATGTTTATTTTTAGAGGAGGTACTGGGGATTGAACCCAGGACCTTGTGTATGCTAAGCATGCACTCTACCGCTGACCTATACCCTACCCTCACGAGCCATTCTCTTTCCTGGGGCAATAGCATCAGTGCCTCGCCCGTGGTCCTGCAGGGCTGCGAAACTGTCACCTCTGACTCTGGAGGCTGAGCCTGCAGTGTCCGTCACAGTGGGGGATGGAGGGTCTACTGTAAGGAAGGGAGCTCTGTATGCTGATTCTGTCCGGTCTCACCCTGGCTCTCCCAGGACTTCACCATGACCTTGTACCTGCGGCATTACTGGAAGGATGAGCGGCTGGCTTTCCCCAGCACCAGCAACAAGAGCATGACCTTCGACGGCCGGCTGGTGAAGAAGATCTGGGTCCCCGACGTCTTCTTTGTTCACTCCAAAAGGTCATTCATCCACGACACCACCACAGACAACATCATGCTGAGGGTGTTCCCGGATGGGCAGGTGCTGTACAGCATGAGGTAACTGTCCATGGGGCTACTGTCCCTGTGTCCGGTGCCATTCTCATGTGTGTGGACTATGCCGGGCATGGGTTTAATGATGTACCACTGGATCGTCAGAGCTGAACTGTGATTTTCTCAGGAGGTGAGAAAACAGTATTTGCTGAATGAATTAGCTAGTCAAGTCTTGTTTTAAAAACCGCAACAAAAAAACCCCTCTATTAAAAAAAAAAAGTCTATGCATGATCTGTTCCTTTGGCCCTGAAGACTCTGTCACTGGAGTTGGGTCTGTGGGCTACCTGGGAAGTTCTGAACCTTCTGATGATAATTAGATTTCTCTAAAGATGAAACGGCCACCGTAGAGGTCATGACTTCCCTGTCATCGAGGATCTTAAGCTTGGGTTGGGAGACTAATTGAGCCCGAATAAATTGAGAGAGACAATGACCTTCTTTGTACCCTCCACCCCTGAGAGACTATGACCCTAGCTTACTGGTAATAAACATCAAGACAGTAACAATAACTACTGCTTCTTGAGTGCCAGTGCAGACTGGCTTCCGAGCTCACGTGCGTGATGACACAGTCTTACTCCACAGCCCCTAGGCCTGTTTGTGCAGTCTGCCAGAATGAGATGTTAACTGCTTTGAGCAGGGGCTGGGGAGGTGGGGCATAACCTCCAGGCATCTCTGGGGAAGGCGGCTCGCTGGCTGAGGGCATGACCAGGGAAGGGGGCAGGTGTGGGCCATTCACAGCTGACAGCCCCGGTGGCTGGGATCTGGGCTGAGCAAACAGCTTCATCTACAGAAGACAAAACTCTAAAAGTTAAGGTTCCACAACTTAGATAGATACCTGCGTTACCAAACTTCTGAAGCAGATGTGAGGAGGCGGCCGCTCTTGGTTGTATCTGCGTTCTCCTTACTCCAGGCAGGCACGTGAGCCAATAACTCACTGCACCAGCTGACATGTTTTGTGGGTTCTAGGATTACGGTCACTGCCATGTGCAACATGGACTTCAGCCACTTTCCCCTGGACTCCCAGACCTGTTCTCTGGAGCTGGAAAGCTGTAAGTATCCGTACTCCTTTTGGCAAATCTTTGCCTTATTTCCACTTTGTGCCATTTTAGTAACCATGAGACCAGGCACAGCCTGCCAGTGTGAAGGCTTGTTTTCTCCTAGGCTGGTGTAGGATTGCCCTGTGGCTCCACCCTGCTTCAGAAGAAAAGGAGTCAAATTAACTTATTTTCCTCTCCCCAAAGATGCATACACAGATGAAGATCTGATGCTGTATTGGAAGAATGGGGACGAATCCCTGAAAACAGATGAGAAGATCTCCCTGTCTCAGTTTCTGATTCAGAAATTTCACACCACGTCCAGACTGGCCTTCTACAGCAGCACCGGTACCTAACTTTTGCCACAGTCTGATTCAAATGCGGAAGAAAACACATTAGAATTCTTCGGCCTTAAGCTTTCCCTCTTTCAGTCCAAATAACTTGTTATCCTTATGATAATGCCTAGTCTAACAAAACATAGACAGCACTTAAAAGCAGAGATTTTAAAAAGTTGCTGAGCACTGAAATCCCATGGCCAAAGGGAGTCATTCCGAACAATTCAGCAAACGCCTTGCAGATATTTTGCTTCAATTATGTAATTTTACAAAAGTGGGGGCAGAACTTACATGTTATTCTGAGGTTTTGACATGTGAATTTGGGGAGG